CTCTCTCTCTCTCTCTCTCTCTCTCTCTCTCTCTCTCTCTCTCTCTCTCTCTCTCTCTCTCATTCTGTCTTAAAAAAATAATTGCATTCAGTTTGTATCTTTCTTTATAACTAGGAATATGATATAATTCAACAACCTTACATTTATATCTGAAAGACCATATGATTCTATAATCTTGTTTAAATGTCTTAAATATAGATGCTTTTAAATAAATTAGTTATATGGTATTACAAAATATATATTTATTTTCCAAATATATTTAGAAATAGTTTTAATTCCATTTCCTCCACTCCTACTTCATGTTTTATGAATCCTATTTGTAGGGAGGAAGATCAGGAGAGACCCAGATTTAGATAAATAAAAATAGTTTTGAAATAATGGGTAACATATCCAAAATAAAGCTAAAATTCAAATTAACCTGCCAAAGATAAACCAATGAATGTTTCAAATATATTTGTACTTGATGTATTAAAAATAGTGTTAACAAAAACTGATTTAGGTATTCAGTTTACTTAGTCTCAGATTTGTCTCTGGTTTTATTACTAATGAGGTGATGACTATTTAACTGCAAATTTATTTGAGATGCCTGTGGTAGCTGCACTTTTCTAATCAATGCCTGTTTGCTACTTCCCAGTTTAGCATTGGAAGCAAAATTTTATTTCATGTTGCAGGTTAGCTTAAGATATTTTATTGGTATCTATTTCCTAATAACCTGGTGTTGATAGCAACAGGTATATTATTGAAACTTTTGCCATTCTTTACAAGGTAAGTTTGCTTAATTTATCAATACATGTCATGATATGAAATTGTGTTTTATCAAAGAGCTTATTAATAAATGTAGTTCCTGATGATTAGTTGGCAAAAACTGATGCTATTTCATTATAGCATAAAATTTTGAAGAAATCTCTTCCAATGTCTCTTCAGTAGTGCAAATTATATATTAAATCTTCTTTTCTTCCTATATTTATTTTGCAAGTACAAACTTTATTTGTAGTAACCACTGCTATCCAAGTACAGATGAGACTAAACAGGAAAATGATCTTGGAATTCATTAAGAATTAATTTTTCCAACAGTTTATAAGGGTGGTGGTGGATAATTCATGAATGACTGGTATGTTTTATGTGTGGAACATCTAATCTTATTTTCTGCCTAATCAGAGAATATTTAACTATTTATGTCATTAATATGAGAAACCACCAAAGAAGATTGAGATCATTTCTAAGACTTATTGACAACACAAGGGATGGTTTCAGAATCTAATCTTTATCTCAAATAACACACAGTCGGAAAAACCATAAGTCTTAAGTCACATTCCTCAATTCCCACTTCTAACCAGACATGTCACACTGTATTTCTTCTTTCTAGAATTTTTTGTGGTGCTGGGGATTGAACCCAGGGCCTAGTGCATGTGAAGCAAGCACTCTACCAACTGAGCTATATCCCCAACCTTTTTTTCTAAAAATTTTAATCCCCTGCTGTTGAGAACAGTTTTTACCTTTGAAGTCAAATTGTGCTATTATGGTATATCGCTTATTTATAGCAATTTCTTAAATAACTTAGCATTCCTTTTATGGAGTCAGGAGACCATCTCCACTATTATACATTATTAATCTTTTTCTAGATTAGGAGAGTCAAAAGTGAAGAAATGTTCTTTCATTATTTCAGCATACTCAATTCCATGGTCATTTAGTTCGTACAGATCAACTTGTGACATTTTGGCACTTGGATGCAATGTGCAAAATAGGAATTCTTTACTACCTTCATGGGCCTGAGGCTGTCTTGGTGCCTAAAACTGTTTGATATATCTCTGTTAAAGTCTGATATAAATTTAAGTGAGGAGAATTGTTTACTGGTAATTCTGCAACACGTCATACCTGTAGGAACTATTTTTGTTCTTTTGTTTATTCACAGTGTCAGTCATTTAAATAAAATGATACCATGCATATTTTAAACTTTCTAATAGCCTGGCCTGTGCAAGAACACAGCTTCCCAGTCTGTGTGCCACATTATAGGTGTGTCCAAGGTTTCCTCAACTAGGAACCTTGGCAGAGACACCTCTAAGCATCAGTTCCAGTGTCCGACAGCCTGACAGCTAATTTGAGTGTGCCCCACAAATTTTATTTTTTATTGTACTGTGAAATGTAAAAGATTGAGAAGCACTGATTCAAGATAGCTAAGATTTTTAGAATTTAATTTGATTCTAGGAACCAAGAAAAGCAGGAAGAAATTTATTACTTTGTTGTAAATTTTTTTGTCTACACAGAACAAAAGTTAAAAAAGATCTCAAAGTCTGTCATTTCTTCATATAAATACTAAATCAAGACCTCTGTCAAATAATTCCTGCCCAGAATAAATTTGACAAAATAATGCTGTGTGCAAGTGAAAATATACCACATTGAATTCTATCTTTATGTATACTATAGAGCACCTATTAAAATATATAATGAGTGGAATGTGGACCAGTAGAGTAGGAGAAGGGGAATAGAGAAAGGAAGGAAAGGAGGGAAAGAAAGGCCACCAGGGACTGAAATGGAGTAAATTAAGTTTCATGCATGTATGATTGTATCCAAATGAATCCACCTATTATGTACAAATATAATGCATCAGTAAAAAAAAAAAAAAAAAAACTTTTAAAACTTTATGCCTGCCCATTTTAATTAAGCTAAAGATGTCCCTTTTTTGTTGCAATTCAATGGGTATTGTCTTGTCTCTCCTCAGAAGCATGAACTTGTTTTGTATTTTTAGTTTTTTGATTTGGGGTTTGTTTTGTTTGTGAAATGCTGGGAATCAAACCCAACATTGTGCACATGAGGCAAGGGCTCTACCATTTAGCTATATCCCCAGCCTCCAAAGTGAACTTTTAGATAACAACCCTCTAACTCATACAGATAGTAAGTTTTATTCACATTTTTAATATACAGTCTTTTCCTCATAACCTTCTATTTTACTTCATCCCTGCCTTTATCATTGGATGCACCCATTAATCATAGCCTACTATTCTATTCAGTCTTCAAAACCAGTACTAACTATATAACTTAAACATATGCATTTAAAGTTTTAGAAATAAAGAGTGCTTCATCAGTGAATTTTGCATTTTATGGCTATTGAAGGGAAGAAGGAAAGCCATGAAATTTAGAAGAAAGAACCATTTATAAATAGTAGAGGGGGTCCTAAAAATGTCTAACA